ACCTTGCGCTTGCCAGGCAGGTGCTTTGCCGCTGAGCTAAATCCCCAGCCCCTAGGACACAATTTCTATACAAGAAGGACTCAGGTGAAATAAGAGTGGGCATATCTTTGAAGTTTTTTGAAGACAGGAAACACTTTGGCTGGTCTTGTTGGGGACCACTACAAAGTGGCTCTGAGCAGGATTCAATATTAACCAATTGGCTTTCTGTGTTTACCTGTGAGTTGTCTAAAGTTTAGGCACCTTGTCTGAAACTTAGGCACCTTGTCTGACAAGATTAGGCCACAGCTGAAGATGTTTGGCTCCCACCCCAATTAACTAGGAGGAGACTACAGCTGCAGGCCCCACACTCCTACAATAAATACCAACCTAAGGATAAGGTAGTTCTGATTGACATAATTTACGACTTGGGAAAATTCTGCCAAGGTCCTGTGAGATTCCCACATTTTCTTGAGTATCCCCTCCCTTTGTTTGAAAACCTAATAAATATGGGCCACCCAGAGAAGTCTGGCTAACTCAGAGGATACTGAAGCTGTAAGAGAGTTCCTCCTGGTGCCCTAAAATCATTACCACTGTCGGATTTATTTAAGCCTTTGTCGTTCACTCGCGTGGGAGATTGCAGATCTGATCATCCTGCAATAACTTAGAGTTATTTAACCCCATTTTTGATAGGTCTCAATAAGGAATTTTAATTTATTGGAGCTTCTAGGGGGTCTGAAACTCTTTCTCTCTCCCCAGAATCTGCCTCTAAGCACCAAAACCCTACCACCACCACCTTCCACTTCGTGTCTATAGGAGTGTTTGAGGGTGGAAGCAGGAAGAGTAACACAATTCTTTCAGCCTTACCATGATATATTTTAGGTGTGTAATGACAGGAGACTACGTGTGTGTGGAAGAACAGTGCCAAAAAACAAAAGGGGTCAGAAGTCCACCTGGAGAAGGGATGCACCAACCAGAAATAATAATTCTGAAATGTTGCTCTTAGCCTAGCTATACAAGATTTACCCTGGACAACTTGATAAAAATGTCCTCATCCCACTCCACTGACTAAAAAGGGTAGAGATTTCCACATATATCCACCTTGAGGGACACTTGCACCAAAAATCTCAGTAGTCTGTTTTCTAAGCCTGCTTTATTGCTGTTGAGAAATGGGTACTTCTCCCAGACTTAGAAGATAGTAGATATTTCAGCAATGCAACTGAATCTATCCCAAACTCATCAGCAACCAAGTGAATATAGTTTGGCTTTTCCTGGAGATCAGAGGTCTCAGTTCCCCATGGCTCACCATGCTGCTTCTGCTTTTGATATTCTTAATCTTTCCCCTCGTCTTGCTCTCATTCCTGGTCCAGAATTTCCATTCGCTCTTATATTCACTTTGTCTTCAGCTAAAAGCTCTTTTGTGGCTGGACATCCATGTCAACCCAGGTTTCCTTATTAAACTTCAGACCCATCTATCCAGACAACACACTAATTATTCCTCTTTGTATTTCCACAAGAACCCCTAATAGCACATTTTCAAAACAAAACTTCCCTGATATTTCCATTTATTTATATCTCCCTGTCTAGTCCTTGCTCAATAAATAAAATGACATTGACCACCTACTCAAGTTGGAAACCTGAGAGCAATTTTTGACTCCTGCCTCCCTAAACATACTGAATTGATCAGTGACTAAGACCTGCTGATATTTCCTCCCACATATTTCCACAGTGAATTGCTTCTCTGTATCTCTATTCCCAGGGGGAGCCAGTGTTACATCTTTCATAGTCCTCAGCTTCCTGTCCTTGGTCTTGTGGCTTCCACTCGTTCCATTTTCCATGTTGAAGCCAGAAGACCATTTCAGAATAAATGTCTGGTCATGGCACATCCAGTTGCCTTCACAATAAAGTTCAAAGCCTTGCTGGCATGTAAAATCCTTTGCGTGTGCTCCGGTGACTCCTTCCTTCTCCAGTTCTATTCATATGTTAGGCAGTAGCCATTCTAAGATTCTTACAACTCTACAGTTCTCTTTCTTTCTCTCTCTTGCCCACAGACCTTATGTTCCTCCCCACTCAAGCGAACAGAGACAGACTTATACTGACTTACTCTTACCCACATGAAGCCTACTCAGGAAAATACAATCACAGGTGAACTCAGTCAATAGAGAGACATATACACTGCCTCTTCCTTTATTGTGCTTTCCTAGGACAATCCATTAATGGTAGAAACATTATATTGGAATTCCAAAGACCTTCGCTCTATTCACTGTGTCTGAAACTCATTTTGTGACATTGTCAAATGTCTTAGTTTTCTTTTGGACCTCACTCTCTTTACCCTGCCTTCCTAGTGTAGGGCTACTGTGTAGATCCAAAAATATCAAGGTAATGGAAATAATTCACTTAATGAAAATATGGAAAATGTATAGCATCAATTTTCCAATTGCAATTTTTTCTACCTCCTTCAAGCCCCTGGAGCACTTCCCCCTTTAGTTTATTTCCCCTTCCCCCACCTGTTTGACTAACTCCTCCTCTTGTTTAGGATAAGTTTAGACTTGAATTTCCAAGATGCTTTTCACAATCCCTCAAAGTTAGGCTGAGTGGGACTCTTAAGGGTTCCCACAGAATTTTCTCAATTTTCTGAAATAACTTTAGCAACTATATTTCAGCTGGGTTTTACTCACTGTTCTCTTTTAACTTCTTTTAAGTATCTCACTGTCACTAGGATGATACTATTCTTTATGCTGGAGAACAGACTTCAAAGGGAAGTGGTCTATTTGAGAGAGTTTTCTTAAATTGACAGTTTCTATGGTTGCCTTTTTTCCCATATACCATAGTGTGCATTGTACCACAATGCATTCATTTTCATGAACAAAACTTTTTTTAAAAAAACATCCAGTGATGTATATATGTCATTATTCTGAATTAGCTCTGTTTCTGAAGAGGAAACTGATTTTCCTAAGATCAGCCTAGTGGAAATTGCATTTAGGTAATGTCTTGTTCTCCCCATTTCTAATGCAGACTTCAATGCTGTGTACTGCCTCGGCTTTAAAAACAAGCTACACAAATAAATATCTGTACACCTAAAGTGTGGGCAGGTGAGGCTATTTGTGCATGTACTGTATATATTTGGGTACAATTACATGCATATTTTTTATTTATAATCAATTCTCGTAAAATCTCCTGGAAAGATAATGATTAAAATAGGAACTTCATTTTGAAAGCATACTTCTGGACATGATATTTCCATTGAATTATGCTTTCTTAATTAGCCTTTTTACAGGATCAGCACATCCTGCTTGTGCTGTGACAAAGTTGTGATCTTTTCAGGTTTGAGTGGACAGTGAGTACCATAGAACAAAAAGGAGGCTGTTGTACTATTTGGGGCCTTGAGAACTCTCTGAGCTTCTGAGAAGCAAGGCTCTAACTGCAGGTCACAAAGAATGGGGAGGCGCGAGCTAAGAAACACGGGAGGACTGGACATGTAGTTCAATAGTTGAGCAATTTCCTAGCTTGGACAAGGACCTGGGTGTGTATGGGAGCATGCGCGTGCGCGTGCGGGCACACACACACACACACACACACACACACACACACAGAGCAAAGGAAAGAAACCACCAAAATGAGGAAGCACAGGACCTTTGCTAGAATAGGCCCAGGGCCATTTCATT